AGAAGCAAATGGCCGACCCATCCTTGTTCATCCTCAAAAGGTGTTTGTTGGATGAAGGTCTGCTACTTCATCTCCACCAGAAGATCAACACCCTTCTGGCCACATAAAATGGAATGACCAGAGTAGAACTATAAAACAAAGTCTAGTGAATGTTCAACAACTGGCTGAGAGAGAGCCTTAGAGCGTCACAGAAAACAACATCTCGATCGGAAAAAATCTGCAACTAATTTTATCCTCATTTGTTCGTTTAAGCTTTGTGAATTAGTTCCTCTCCAGACCCGTCATGCGTCAATTGCAACTTCAGGGGGGAACAAAATGAATACCAAAAGGAAGAAGAAAGAGAGGATGAACTAAGGGAGGGAAAGTGTTGTAGAGATAGCACAGAAAAACAGCAAAGAAAATGGGGGGGGGGGTCGCCGACGCCCTACGATTTTTGCGAAGTGATGGTCGGAGAATCACCAGAGAAGACAACTGAAGTAATGGTCGATTTTTGCCACACTTTCTCTTCGGCGGCGGCCATATCTAGTAGATTCAGAAAAAAATAATAGGAAAAAAGAGGAAAAACGCTATCAGAAGAAGATGAATCACGTGTGGAAGGAGCCAGTCAAAAGAATAACCTATTCGGCTTTTTCCCATTTTCTAATTTATTGTTTTAACCTATTGAGTAAGTTGTAGGTCACCTAGACTAACTTGAGAAGATGCCATATAATTTTGGGATTATTTTAGAATTACTCAAAATTGGGATTAATATTAGAAGAACCTCAATACTTGGGATTATTAACGTGAATTTTTCCAATTAATTATTGAAGATAATTGCGCATTTAAAAGCACAGTTATCTTCAAGAATTAATTTGAATGTGTTTCCGATTGAACTTTTAGCTGAAATTTGGTATGAGTGAACTAGACTTGATGAATAAGATCCTAAAAAATTTCATCAAAAAAATCAATCGGAAATCACCCCAAATCGCGACGGCCGGACAAAGCCTCCTATATAATAAGGACTTATTTGACCTTTTTATGAAAGTTCGAGGACCTATTTGACAGTTTTCCCTTCATTTTTTAAACAATTTCCTTAACAATTTCTTTCAAAAAAACATTTTTCTTAACAATTCTTTGTAAGCTTACATTCATGTTACATTTTTCTTACACAGCTACAACCATAGATTTCCATTTTACCCTCAACTTCGTAAGAGTACTTTTTAGTTTTTAATCATAATTTTTTTAACAGTTCTCTAACAAAACATTTGACTGATTGAATTGGAATCCTAACATTGATTCAAAATGTTGTTTTCATTAATGAGACTTCATTTTTCACATTTTTAATAACGACAGAGTGGGAGGGAATTTTGGCGGGACATTGGATGGCCAGCTGGAATTTAAAATTTAAAATCTATAGTAAAATCCGCTTGTGAGATTTTATTGGTTATCTAAAAGTTTTAACAGTTAATGCAATAATTGTGACTGCTTGAAACTGTTTATCTTCTAAGAATGGCCGGCCATTTGTTATAGAAACAATAAATGGGCCGCATGATTGAAAAGCAATTAATTTGGGTAGGCAATTGCAATAATTGATTGTCTTCTCTAGAAAGAATACAATTGACTGTTGGAAGTTCCTCCGGAGTCTTTTCATGTTCTCAAGAAAGATGGCCGGCTTTTCATGTAAGGGAGTAGCTCCGTTTGAGATGAACAAATACATCTCATATATATTCTAGATGAATCTGCATTAAATACTACATACTAAACCTTAAGTATAATGAAATGGTATCTTCCATAACACTTTTAAAAAGGTCTTTTGGAATACCTCAAGGTATTATCACTATATATATAAATGCTTAAGTCGTTGCCTCCGGTTGGTTTAGGCTAGGGGACGTCCGTCCCAAAAAACAACAGTCATCCACCGTCGCCTATCGTCGTCTGGACCTTAAGCTATGGGGACGTTCGTCCCGATTGGCTTGGGCTATGGGGACGTTCGTCCCGTAAACAACGGCCGTCCTCTGTCATCTACCCTCCTTTGGGCCTTGGGCTATGGGGACGTTCGTCTCATTTACCCAACACAAGTCCCCCAACGAGGACGCTCTTCCCGATTCGCTTCGCCTATGGGGACGTCCGTCCCAAAAACAACGGCCATCCTCTGTCGCCTATCGTCCTCTGGACCTTGGGCAGTTCAAAATCCACATAATATATACGAAGTATTAGATTAGAGTTAGAGAAGAAGATTAGGTAATTGATTTATGCAGAAAACTGAAACGCCGCATTAAATATTTAAATGTACGTACATGGTGTCAAGATGACTAAAGCATTAAATGTTGTGACAAGATAATGACAAAGCATTAAATGTGCACAACCGTAATTGGACAATCAATAGGCGACGCATGCAATACTCCATCAATGATAATAGGTATAGAGAATTTTACAATACTTATGGGTGAGAGGTTGGTGCCCAATTTAAGTACGGTTCAAATACTTATGGGTACGCTCGTCTCATTTATGGGGACTCCATAAAATACTTATGGGCGAGAGAAATGCAGACTCCATTTAAATACTTATGGAGACGTTCATCTCATTTACCCAACACAAGTCCTCCGGTGAGGACGCTCTTCCCGATTGGCTTGGGCTATGGGGACATCCATCCCAAAAACAACGGTCGTCCTCTGTCACCTATCGTCCTTTGGGCCTTGAGCTATTGGGACGTTCGTCCCGGTTGACTTGGGCTATGGGGACGTTCATCCCGTAAACAACGGCCGTCCTCTGTCGCCTACCGTCCTCTAGGCCTTGGGTTATGAGGACGTTCGTCTCATTTACCCAAAACAAGTCCCCCAGTGAGGACGCTCTTCCCGATTCGCTTCGCCTATGGGGACGTTCGTCTCAAAAACAACAGCTGTCATATGTCGCCTATCGTCCTTTGGGCCTTGGACTATGGGGACAGCTGGATGTGAGTGGCTTGGGCTATGGGGACGTTCATCCCATAGACAACGGTAGTCCTCTGTCGCTTACCGTCCTTTGGGCCTTACGTAATGGCGACGTTCGTCTCATTTACCCAACACAAGCCCCCCGGTTGGTTTGGGCTATGGGGACGTTCGTCTCAAAAATAACGACCGCAATCTGTCACCTATCGTCCTCTAGGCCTTGGGCTATGGCGACGTTTGTCCCGGTTGGCTTGGGCTATGGGGACGTTCGTCCCACGACCGTCCTTTTATCGCCTATCATCCTCTGGACCTTGGGCTATTGGGACATTCGTCTTATTTACCCAACACAAGTTCACCGGTGAGGACGCTCATCCCGGTTCGTTTCACCTGTGGGGACGTCCGTTCCAAAAACAACGGTTGTCCTCTGTCGCCTATCGTCCTCTAGGCCTTGGGCTATGGGGATGTTCGCCCCAGGTGGCTTGGGTTATGGGGACGTTCGTCCCGTAAACAACGATCATCCTGTGTCGCCTATCGTCCTCTGGGCCTTGAGCTATGGGGACATTCGTCTCATTTACCCAACACAAGTCCCCTGGGGAGGACACTCTTCCCGGTTCTCTTCGCCTATGGGGATGTTCGTTCCGTAAACAACGATTGTCCTCTGTCGCCTATCGTCCTCTAGGCCTTGAGCAATGGGGTCTTTCATCTCATTTACCCAACACAAGTCCCCCAGTGAGGACGCTCTTCCCGGTTCGCTTCGCCTATGGGGACGTTCGTCCCAAAAACAATGGCCATCCTCTGTCGCCTATCGTCCTCTGGGCCTTGGGCTATGGGGACAGCTGGACGCGGGTGGCTTGGGCTATGGGGACGTTCGTCCCATAGACAACGGCCGTCCTGTGTCGCCTATCGTCCTCTGGGCCTTGGGCTATGGGGACGTTCATCTCATTTACCAAACACAAGTCCCTCGGTAAGGACGCTCTTCCCGGGTCACTTCGCCTATGGGGACGTCCATCCCGTAAACAACGGCCGTCCTCGGCCGCCTATCGTCCTCTGGACCTTGGGCTATGGGAACGTTTGTACCGGGTGGCTTGGGCTATGGGGACGTCCGTCCCGTAAACAATTAAAAATTATTCACCTTATCCAAATTAGAAATGGAAGAGGTAATATATTTTACTTTATGGGGACATTTTCTTAATTAGTATTTTAAATGGGATAAAAGCTTCTTGAGTTCCAAATCATAAATTGCATCTCAAAGTGGGGACAACTATTACGCTGATGAGAAACATTGATCATTCAATGGGGTTATGTAATGGAACCAGAATGATGATCACCATGCTCGGTAATCATGTTTTGGAAGCAAAAGTCCTCACAGGAATCAGTGCAGGTGAAAAGGTGTTGATACTTAGAATGACTTTGACTCCATCATATGTTCGGTTGCCTTTCAAGTTTCAAAGGAGACAATATCCTTTGATTGTCTCATATGCTATGACAATTAACAAAAGTCAGGGATAATCGTTGTCTATTGTTGGATTATTCTTACAGAAATCGGTGTCCAGTCATGGTCAGCTATATGTTGCTCTTTCACGTGTCACTGAGCGTGCTGGGTTGAAAATTTTAATACGTGACCAAGATGATAAAGATACTAATGTAACAAAAAATGTTGTATATAAAGAAGTGTTTCAAGATTTAAAAAAACAATTATTACTATGTTTTTATCTATTCAATTTTGTTTTAATTAGAATCGTATTATTTATATTAAATTAATATAATGAACAATTTGAAGAATACAATTACTCCCTCCGTCCCACAATGAACTTCACAGTTTTACCTACACACATATTAAGGAAATAAACTTATCATGGGGTAAATTTTACTGTTTTGACACTGTTTCGACACTGTTTGACACCGTTTTGCACTGTTTCGACACTGTTTGACACTGTTTTGCACTATTTGACACTGTTTTGATGTAGATTAACTTGTCATTTAAGGAAATGAGAACTTGTTTCTGGAAAATCCAAAAAAGGAAAGTGAGAAGTTCATTACGGGAAGGAGGAAGTATTACATGAACATAGAGTACTTCTAAAATTTTCAGAATTTGGAAGCCCATAGGAGTATCGGACAGCGCTTTTGCAGTTCCCTCCAAAAATCGAAGAATTTGGGAGGGTTTAGCTGACAAGTCACAACGCCCCGAAACGCTAGAGCCGAAATCCTAATCCTTCAATTGTACCATCGATGGCGTCATCATCTTCGTCTTACATGACAGGCCCAGACATCCCATGGGTCGAGAGGTACAGACCCACCAAGGTGGCTGACATCGTCGGCAATGAAGACGCCGTCGCCAGGCTCCAAGTCATTGCACGTGAAGGAAACATGCCCAACCTCATTTTAGCGGTGAGTAACGATTCGACGTCCTCGAACCCACGTTTACCCTACATTTCGTCATATATATAAGCTCTCAATGTTATTTGCGTGCTTTGGCTCAGAGATGAAAACACTACACTTTTAGAGAGCCCTAATTTCGTATCCCATCCGGTAGATTTCTCAATTTCACCTTGGATTTTCAGTTTATCCTATTTTAGAACCCCGCTCTTGTAGTTCAATGATAGGTTGAGAGTATACTGTACCGGTCATCAAATGTGACTCCACCCGGAAGTGTTCACTTTAAAGAACCCATTTTTTGTTTTCTTGACGGCATGCTTAAATCATTGAAAATTCCAGCGATAGAGAAAATGCTGAGGAAAGTGTAACATGCAAAGGAAGATGATTGTGATTGTTTAGTATTCCTTAAAATTTAAATATATTTAGATGGTTTAGTCTTCAGACAGATATGAAATGAGTGTCAACCAAGTAATGAACATAAAATTATTGTGGTAGCATATCTTGGATTTTCTGGAGCTCTTTGCAAAGCAATTTAATCGGGGGTATTCAAAAGAAACAAGCTTCAGTGTGTCAATACACACCTATTCAGTCAAAGAGGAAAGAATTTGCTCACAATTCAATTTGGCTGATTCTTTTTGGATTATTATTTTTAATTCTCATTGAGCATTTGAAGATGCTGTACAGGGCCCCCCTGGTACTGGTAAGACCACAAGTATACTCGCTCTTGCTCATGAACTTCTTGGTCCAAATTTTAAGGAAGCAGTTTTGGAGCTAAATGCATCAGATGATCGGTAGGATATACTTATTAAAAGATGCTGCTTTTTTCTTGACAGATGCTAAAATGGTAATAATTTTATGTCAATTGTACAGGGGGATTGATGTTGTTAGAAATAAGATTAAGATGTTTGCTCAGAAGAAAGTGACTCTTCCTCCCGGTCGCCATAAGATTATAATTTTGGATGAAGCTGACAGGTTTGTGACTTTCAATATGGGTGCTTGGAAACTTATATCAGTTATATGTTCATGTGCCCATTTGGCAGGCGCCAGTAAACACTAACTTATTTCATGGCACTAATTGAATTGGATGTGAATGAAAATAATTACTGCAAAAGTTGCATATTGGGCTGAAATGGATGAAGTTAATGTAAATGACACTTCAACCTTCATTGTTTTCATTTTAATTTTTTAGAAGTTATTACAAGATTAATCCATATGTACCTGTTCAAGTTACCTCATTTTAAATTTTTTACTTTGCACAAAGTTTGTTGATATTTATTTAGAAGTGGAACACTCAATATCAGCCACATATGTTCATTCCTTGAAAGGAAATGAGTATACTATTTTGGGACACCCAAAAAGAAAGGAGGTTAAATTAAAAGGGGGCAGATGTAGTATTATCTTTTAAATAATAATTTATATACTTTAGTAGATTCAACCACAATATCATGGTTTTCCAAAATGATCTTCTGCATTAACATCAATGGTTCTCATGGTGCAATTGGACAAAGTGAGTTTCCTGTCTATAAACAGACCAGCTTTTCATTTCCTCTGTGTGTATTAGCTGGTAGTCATATTCTTGTTCAACTAGAGCTATAATTTAGTGTTGGTGTTGTCACATTTTCAATACCTGTCACCCTGTCAGCATGACAACTGGAGCTCAACAAGCCTTAAGGAGGACAATGGAAATATATTCTAACTCTACCCGCTTTGGCCTTGCCTGCAATACTTCTTCTAAAGTCATTGAGCCTATACAGAGTAGATGTGCCTTAGTCCGGTTTGGTAGATTATCAGATCAAGAGATCCTTGGGCGCCTTATGGTGGTGGTTAGTGCAGAAAAGGTATTATCTTTGTTTCGGAAAGACATATTTTTTAAAATGGTCAGGAAACGGGTAAAGGTATGTTGTTCAGTGTTTTTTTTTAAATTATTTTTTTAGGTTCCTTATGAACCTGAAGGTCTTGAGGCAATCATATTTACTGCCGATGGAGATATGAGACAGGCTTTGAATAACCTACAAGCAACATTTAGTGGATTTGGGTTCATCAACCAATCAAATGTTTTCAAGGTTTGATTTAGACACATTAACTGATCTATTACCGAACCTTGGATTCCATGTATGCTTGAATTTCTTGATGATATCTAGCTTTTGAGATTCACTCATTTTATACATTTTATTTGTAATGCTAAGATACTTGCAAATGTCCCTAATATTGCAAGTTTGCAATTAGAATGTTTGCTTGGACTCATTTGTTTTGCCTACTTCGCTTGCAGTTTGTAATCTTAGAAACATTTAAGGATTTACAGTTTCAAAATATGTACTCTCATCCCTAATCAAGTACAACTGTACAAGAACATAAGAATCCATTTGGCAAGGCTAAATGCTGGCTGAAATTACTAATGTTTTGGCTGAAGTGATTGGAGTTGATGAGCTTGCTGAATTATTTTAAAACAGATTCAAATATATTTTATTAATGGAAGAATGAAATTAATACAAAAAAATATAGGTAAACTTTTCATTTCTATTCATTCAGTCGGCCAAAAGATGCCATTTGCATTATTTCCATATTCAACCATTTCAGCCTTGCATATTCAATATAGCGTTTGGAAAAACTCTGCCTATATCGACATATAGGCAGAAACATCAAGACTCCAAACGAGAACTATATTTCCATCACTATTGTTATTGTTCATACAATTTTCAACATTCAATATGTTGGATTACATAATATTTTTCTTGGTTTATTATGTCGTTGCTTCATCCTCAATGGCAAGTGGTGGCTCTCTAATACTTGCCAGGCTGCCATTTCATCATTTTTAACAATCAATGTTCTGTAAGATTTCCAGGTGTGTGACCAACCTCATCCCCTTCACGTGAAGAATATGGTACGCAATGTACTAGAAGGGAGATTTGATGAAGCTTGTGCGGGTATGAAGGCACTATACGACATGGGTTATTCTCCTACTGATGTTATCACAACCCTTTTTCGGATCACAAAGAACTACGATATGGCTGAATACCTAAAATTGGAGTTTTTGAAGGTATGCACTCTGTTATATGTCAATAGTTTTCCTATTTTTTCCAGTGATGTCAATAGCGGGCTATAGCGATGCTATAGCGGAATAGCGTAGCAGGGCAGGGGATAGGCGCTATGAGACTGCCTATAGCAGAGTGGTTGGCAATAGCGTCTGTAGCGGGCGCTATAGCGGGAAGAATTGCGGCTGTAGTGGGCGCTATAGCGCTGCTATAATTTACAGGGCTACTTCAGTGCTAATTTTGAGGGAATTTGGGAGTACTTTTTACTTTTAGATGTTATTGGAGTAAAAATAAACTCAACACACCCTCCAAAACACGTGGAGGGGGACAAAATAATGCTACTAAACATGAGTAAACACTACGAAAACAGAAAACCACGATCAAACATAACCTATACCATACATCTCCATGTTAAGGTAGTTCGAGGCATCCCAACAGCCACTATTTTCTTATATTGAGATATTAATGACACAAATTTATCTAGAATTATCTGGAACTTAATTTTTAATGTTTAGAGGTAAGACACTTAAATTATTTGTTTCTTTTTGTTTAAGACTAATACCTCTTTATTGGTAATTTAGTACGTAAAAAATTCATGACGTTTGCGTAACATATTTGTTATTTATCATTTCTTGGAGTTCTTATGTGCATGACATGTAATTGTATGTATATTTCTTTTGCATATATATTGTCTAAATAGCGGCATCCCGCTATCCGCTATTACCACTATAGTGTTTTCGGGTTGTCCGCTACGCTCCGCTATCCAAGATTGACAACACTATTTTTTTCCCACTTCTGGTGTTTTGACTATAAGGTTATTCCCATATTTGGTCCATGACTTTCATTATTTCCACACTTGAGGATTATATGGATGTTTTGGCACTTTAAGTCCTTTTGACCTCTCAGATGGCATTCTTGTCATTTATTTTTTGAACTTAGTAACTCTTATTTCAAAAAGATCAGACTGAAGTAGATGCTTCAGAAAGACTGAGACAGAATTAGACCCGTCCGTAAAGACTGAGACCAGAAGTGACAAGAAATCCATAGTTGTGCATGAAAAATGGAAAAGTAAAAATAAGGGACTAGAAGTGAAAAAATTGGACAGTCGGGGACCATGAGTGAGAACTACCTATTAGTTGTGGTACCAAAACTTGAAAGTTTTCATTGTTTTCCTCCATCTTAGTATTTTTTTCTTTGCATGATTCATTTCTGTTTTCTGATGGGAGAATAGGAAATTGGCTTTGCACACATGAGGATCTGTGAAGGAGTGGGTTCATATCTTCAGCTGTGTGGGTTGTTAGCTAAACTTGCTCTGGCTCGTGAGACGGCAAAGGCAACATGAGAAAGACAGTCAGCTTTTTTTTTGTAGTAGCAATTAGAAGCCTACATTGGTGCAAGAGTAATGCATGCTACCTTTTTCTAAGTTGTCTCTCTTGGCATGGAGAACTTATGTTCCCATTTTGGTTATCATCTTTGTATTGGAATTAGAAAAATGTGGTATCATGTGAAAAAAATTCTGAAGAATGCAGCCATTAGTTTCTATATTGACTTTTTGCTCTATATTTTTATAAGGATGCAGGTTTCTTGATGATAGACCGTACATTGAATTTCAGTTTTTTCTCGACTCAAAAAATATAAATTGCGTTTATTAGGCATTTAGTGCACGACATGTAAGATAACCGTAAGCTAGCCTCAGTGAAGTTAATAGCGGTGCTATCACGCGCTATAGTGGTAAAGCGGAGCGGACGAATGGCCTAGCACTACAAGATGTCCTCTAGCGTAGCGTTTGGGTGAAGCGGCTACGGTGGCCGCAATTGCGGTCGCGCTATTGTGCTAAAGGCGGACGGTATAGCGTTGCATATGTGCCTTCGATGTCTTGAAACTGTTTTCTGCGTATAAATATTTTAGGGCTGAGGTTGAAGGGTAAATTAGTCTTTTAATATAAAATATTAACCCCTGTAAACCCTAATACATGTGCGCAGATCAAAACCTTACAAACGGCCCCATCTTTCGAATAACTCGTATCTCATTCTTTTTGCTCTGGGAAGATTGTGCTGACTTCTCCTTCAACGACCACAACCTTTTCATCTACGATGACTGCTCTTCGCTAGTTTCCACTTCGCCTCTTTCCATTGGTAGAATCGCTGCTTCATCTTTTACAAAACATTTATGGCACTCTTCATTCTTCTACTTACGCTGCAAGTCTGCAACATTTTCTACAAGAAGACCAAACTTTTCTTTGCTGCAGTCTTCTTTTCTTCTTCTCATTAAGCACGGAGTCTGCTCCCACTCCCATGTTTAAGCCCACAGGGGACCACATTGACCCGGCTTGGAAGTGGAACAGTTTGAAAGATGCAAATGACAAGAAAACTGTTACATGTGATTTTTGTGGCAAAACTACTACTGGAGGAATTATCAGAGCCAAAAGACACCAAATGAGAATAAGAGGAGATGTAGGAGCTTGCAGGAAAACTCTAGCTAATGTTGCACTTTTATTGAAAGAAGCATATGAGAAAAAAAGGGGGAAGAAGAAGCATACATGGAGTTGCAAGAAGATGAAGATGAAATGAAAGACCTTGATCAAATTCTGAATATTAGAAAAGGAAAAAGACCCCTAACAGCAGCAACTGAGGCCTCTTATCCTACTGCCAAAAAGGTCAAAGCACCCTTAACCTTGCTTTACTATAAGAAACCCGAAAAAACAATAAGCTTGGGAAAAGGTAAGAGGCAAACAAGCATAAATGATGCTTGTGACAAGGAAGCTAGGGCCAGAATCATTCAATATATTGAAAGATTTCTATGCACAAATGGATTTGCTTTTAATGTTGTGAAATCAAAAAGTTTCAAATTGATGGTTGAGGCTATCAGAAATTATGGTCCTCATTTAAAGCCTCCAAGCTATCATGAGTGTAGAGTTCCACTTCTTAAAAAATAATTGGAGTACACTTAGGGACTGTTAAAGGGCCATGAAGAGGAATGTGCACAATATGAATGCTTAATTATGTCCGATGGATGGACAGATAGGAAAAACAGAACATTGATTAATTTTTTGGTGAACTGCCCAAGGGGGTCAATATTTGTGAAGAGTGTTGATGGTTCTGAACACACAAAAACCGGTGAGAAATTATTTGAGCTTCTTGATCAATTTGTTGAGATAATTAGGGAAGAAAATGTGGTGCAAGTGATCACGGACAATGGAAGTAACTATGTTCTTGCGGGTAACATTTATTAGTTCAACTACTTCAATATTACTTTATTTAAAATTTAAATTTATGAATTTTCGTTATGTGAGTCTGCTGCCACATCTAAGTTCAGTGATTTATGTGTTAGGAAAACTGCTACAAGTGAAGAGAAAGCATTTATTCTGGACTCCGTGCGTTGCCCATTGCATAGACTTAATGCTTGAGGACATTGGGAAGTTGCCCACAATTAAAACAACAATAAGAAAAGGTATTTGTGTAGTGGGTTTCATCTACAACCATACCATTGCTCTCAACATGATGAGAAAGTTCACAAACAAGATGAAATTGCTTAGACGTGGTATTACAAGGTTTGCTACTTCATTCCTTACCTTGCAACGGCTGCATACTCAAAGAGCAAAGCTTAGAAACATGTTTACTTCCGATGAATGGAAAAAGACTAATGTTTCCAAAGATCGAAATGCAAAGAGAGTTCTGGACATAATTCTTAATCCTACATTTTGGAATGATGTTGTTTACATTCTGAAAGTAATGGGCCCTCTTGTATGCGTTCTAAGGCTAGCTGATCATGAGGAAAAACCCGCAATGGAATTCATTTATGAAGCAATGGATCGAGCCAAAGAAGCAATTCAGGGTTCTTTTCAAGGGAATGAAAGGAGATACAAAAAATATTTGAAAATTATTGATTTACGATGGGAAACTCAACTCCATCATCCTTTGCATGCCGCTGGTCATCATTTGAACCCTTCTTTCTACTACAAGAACCCAAGAATGGACCTGGACAATGAGGTTATGCAAGGGCTTTACACGTGCATTGAGAGGCTTAGTGAAAATGAAGAAATTGAAGATAAAATATTGTGTGAGCTGAATGCTTATAAGAGAGCTGAAGGTCTCTTTGGGTTGAAGCTAGACGTGGTATTACAAGGTTTACTCTTACTCCCGGTAAGTTAAGGCATATAATTTTTTTTATTACCCACGCAAATAGAATGTTTAAAGTTTACTTGCATTTAAAGGTGAATGGCGTAGGAACTATGGATCACATACACCAAGTCTTCAAAAGCTTGCCATAAAGATCTTAAGTTTGACTTGTAGCTCATCGGGATGTGAGCGCAATTGGAGTATATTTGAGCATGTACGTTATTATTACATGTTTTACAAGTTCAATCAACAAACATATTGTGTACTATTTTCAACAAACTGGAGTCTGAACTAACAGTTTTTTATTTAGATTTGTAATATAGATTCATTCAAAGAAGAGAAATAGGCTTGAGCATCAAAGGTTGCAAGATTTGGTTTATATTAAATATAACCAAGATCTTAAAGAGCGATTTGATAGCTGATGGATAGCCTACCCGAGGGTATGTATCCGAAGGATTACTGCGGGGAGTAACTAGAGAGAAGTCAGAGCAAAAGTAGGAGAGAGAGTATATTGCTGAGAATGTAGTGAGCGAGTTTAGCTTGAGTTACAAATGGGGAAAAAGGGCGATATTTATAGTAGTAATAAATGCCAGATAGGGACACATGTCATCATTCTGGTGGTCGAGGGGTCACCTCAACGGGGTGGCACTGGCACTCGCATGTGGCCGCATTAAATGCGGTGGTTGGATGTGACGTCTGTACTTGGTACGTTGATCCAGCGCATGTGGGTTGGAGATCCTGTCGAGGAGAAGCCTTCGGCCTTAGATGATTGACCGAAGGCTCTTCCTTCCGGGGGCACCCTAGCTGTTGAGGGCTCTTGGTGCCGAGGGCTGCTGTTTTTACTGTCTCCTCCCAGTGTCCTCGTATGCCTGAAAAAACCGTTCTGTGAGTATCTGGAGCCTTCGGCCAAGGGGCCGAAGGCACCCCCCTGTGTGCATTGTTGGTTGCTTGGTACTTGGGGCGCTGTGATTTGGTCCTGTCGTGTTTCCTGGGCCTATTGGGCCTTGACAAGAGTAGTAGGAGCCTATGGGCCGGGGGTCCCTGGGCCATATACTCCATCACGAGTCCCTCACTCCTTTTACCGAAAGGTACTTGAGGGAAAAGGAGTAATTGTGTTTGTTCTCTGCCGTTGTTCTGTCGTAGTTTGTAAAATTTGTGAGTAGTTCGCTGTGTACATGTTTCAGCCGAGGGCAGTCCCTCAGTTACCCACATTCCAGGACTTGAGGGGTCATGTTTGTCGTTGTGGGAGTTTTCTGCTATTGTTTTTATTTCGAGTTTTTTCCCGAAGGGGTCCTCCAGTCCCCCACTCCTTGAGGCACTTGCAAAGTGGTGAAAAAGAGTAGAATAGTGCCTGCCTGCAATATGAAGCCGAGGGGTGACACTTTTCGTTTCATTTTGGGGGGATGCCTCGTTAAAAACCTCATTGAAAAAAAACCTGTGAGAAAAAATTCCAATGAGGGAAAAAGAGTGCACTGAATTCCCCCAATGATGAGTCGAAAAGGTGAAACCCTGGTCTGAAATGAGTGGCAGTATTTTTGCCGAAGGCTATCCTTGTCTGAAGGCGCGTGTGTTGATTTGCCGAAGGCTCGTTGTTGTTATCCTGAGAGATACCGAAGGGGAGCCCTCAATTTATGAGTATGAGGGCGCGATGAATGTGGATGATATTTCCTATGTTGTCGAAGGATCCCTTGTTTGTTGACAAGTGGGGGGCTTTGGTACCCCGGGGCAGCCTTTGATGAAGGCGTGCTCCCCGGGGGCTACGTGGTCCTCAATGTGTTTGAGGGCTGAGTGTCCCCGAGGGGGGTGTGCCCGTTGTGAAGCCGTTGGCTTCTGAAGGAGTGAGCCCGAAGGCATATGTGACGATGTATTATGAGGGGCATTGGGCGGGAGCACTTCTGGATAAGTGTACCCGGGGGCTCCTCCTGATGAAGTGGAGTGAAGGAGATAGCCCGGGTTCCCAGAATATAGTCGTTGTAATAGAGCCGTTGGAAGATGTAACGTCGGAAATATAGCCGTTGGAGGGGGGGCTCCACGTGGTGTGCGTTCGTTGGCTGCTTGTGGGCGGGCGTCACCGATTGGGCAACTCGACGGTTTGTAATGATGGTTTTGTAACCGGAGGCCCGGTTTCCGGGCCCAAGCCCGGATCTGGGCGCCTATAAATACCCAAGGCCAAAGGACCACTTCCTTGTGCGATCATTGTTGTTAGCGGAGCTCTGCCGAATTTTCTAGAGAGGGAAACTCAAGCCTTCGGTCAAAACCAGTTCTCAGAGGTCAGTTCTTGCTCCGTTCTTTGCAATTCTTGCATACTTCGCTTCTCGGCCTTAGATTAGTGTTTGTATCTTAGAGCCTTTAGTATCTCCCTCCGAATCCTCGATTTAGTATAAAAAATGTCTTCACAAAGCGATTCCCAAGACATCTCGAGGGAGCTTTCGATGGAGGAGGAAAGCTTCTCAGACGTGGAGTCCACGAGTGAGCAACCCTCGACCGGGGATGATGCCGCAATGGCCATAGAGGTACAGAGGGTTCTTCGTATGTTCACTTGATTATTGATGACATTCGTAGTTTATTAGATTCAAAGAGTAATTTTCATATATCTCCGTCCCATAAAATTCTCCCCACTTTGACTTGGCACGAAGATTAAAAAAGTGGAATAAAGTGGAAATGTATGGTTGTGGTTGTGTATGAAAAAGGTGAAATGAATGCGAACCACACAAATTGTCCAAAAATAGTAAGTGAGAAGATTTTTTTGGAACGACCCAAAAAGGAAAGTGAGAAGAATTTTATGAGACGGAGGGAGTATCTCTTTTGTAGACGGTCTGCGAATCATGCAGCTCATGCGTTAGAAAGAGCACATGTTTTATCTTAGCTCAGTAGATTATTTTTGATGTTATGCCTGATTATATTAGAAACCATGTGGCGAACGATTTATTGATTAAATATATTATTCCATTTTGACGATAAAAAACATCACAATTATTAATACTAATCACATTATACGACCAAAAAAAATACTAACCCCATTATATTACATACCTATTAAAATTATTTTTTAAAATATACTCGAATTACCTTATTTAATTATTGTCTAAATAACCGTGTCGTTTTGTGGAAAAACTCTAAATAAATACTCTATCTGATCCTTAATAAACTTCACACTTTCCTTTTCGGACAAGTCCAAAATAAAATTCACATTTCTACTTTTGCTGTGTTTTTAATAGAAAGTTATCCTTATACTCTTACTTTATTAACTATTTTACACCCACTTTCTATTTTCCGCTACATCTAATCTATTTTTTGAGGGGTATGACGGGAAAGTCAAATACAAAATTTCCACTTTCTTAAACAACGTAAAATCAAAGTGTGAAGATTATTTAAGATCGGAAGGAATATCTTAATGTAAATATACTATCGTACTATCTTCATCCCATTTAAAGGTTCTTGTGACAAAATGACACGATTATTTAAACAATAATTAAATATGCTAATTCGAGTATATTTTGAGAAATAACTTTGATGATCATATAATATAATGAATCATTGATGATAACTGCGATTTTATAAATGTACTTTTTTTAGTATTATTGATTAAATTGTCAATTAAGAGTGTTAATTGTTTCCTAAAGTAGAAAGTGAGAACTTGATGGATGGTGTACACGGGGGGTAGCTTATCCGAGGGGTATTACGGGAAATAACTAGAGAGAAGTCAGAGCAAATGAGTATAGAGAGAGGAAGTATATTAGAAAGTGTTCAGTGTTTTTTGCGTGGTCTACAACGGGGAAATGGGGTGCTATTTATAGTAGCAATAAATGCCGGACAGGGACACGTGTCAAGCGTCCATTGGCCGAGAGGTCACCTCAACTGGTTGGCGCTGGCAACCGCATGTGGCCGCATTTAATGCGGCTGTTGGATGAGACATTGTACTGGGTACGGTGATCCCTACGCATGTGGAGCGGATATTATGTCGGAAAAGGCGCCCTCGGCAGTAGATGACTAGCCGAGGGCTCTGAGTACCGGGGACTCCCTTAGTGCCGAGGGCTCCAGTTACCGAGGGCTACTGATTTTCGCCGTTCTTCCCAGCAACTTTGTTTTCCTGTTTTGACCTTCCTGTGAGAATCAGAGCCTTCGGCCAGTTGTCCGAAGGCTCCCCCTGGTGCGCTTTGTGGACTGCTTGGTGCCTTGGGCGCCGTGATTTGGGCCTGTTGTGCTTCCTGGGCCTATTGGGCCTTTATTGGAGTAGTGGGAGTCTGTGGGCCGAGGGTTCCCGGGCCATATACTCCATCAGGAGTCCCTCACTCCTTTTGCCGAAAGGTACTTGAGGGAAAAGGAGTAATTGTGTTTGTCCTCTACCGTTGTTCCATTTGTAGTTTGTAGAGTTGTGGGTAGTTGGCTGTCTGTTTATTCTGCCGAGGGCAGTCCCTCAGTTACCCACATGTCGGGACTTGATGGGGCATGTTTGTGATTTTTGTGATTTTTCCCGAGGGGGTTCTCCAGTCCCCCACTCCTTGAGGCATTTGCAAAGTGGTGAAAGGGAGTAGAGTAATCATGTTGCTGTTTTGGGCCGAAGGCTGACGCTTTTCATTTCATTTTGGGGGATGCCTCGTTAAAAACCTCATTAGGAAAAACCCTGTGGGAAAAAATCCTAATGAGGGAAAAGAGTGCACCGAATTCCCCCAACGATGAATCGAAAATGTGAAGCCCTGGTTTGAAATGGAGTATAATGGTGATGCCGAAGGCTATCCTTGTTCTGAGGGCGCATGTGTTGACTAGCCGGAGGCGTGCTGTTGATATACTGGGAGGTGCCGAAGGGGAGTCCTTCAATCTGAGGATCGAGGGCGTAATGAATGTGAGTAGTAGTTGAAGTGTTACCGGGGTGCCCCCTGTTTGTTGATTAGTTGGTGAGGAGAGTATCCGAGGGCTCCCGTTTCCTGTGTGCCGTAGGCTGTCCGTCAATGAAGCGTACTCCCCGGGGGCTACCCGGCCCTCAAAGTGCTGAGGGGGGATCCCCGAGGGATGTGCCTGTTATGAAGTCGTGGGCTTCTGAGGGGGTGAGCCCGAAGGCATTTGTTATGTAGTGTGTGGGGCACAAACCAGGAGCGTCTCTGGGTAAGTGTACCCGGGGGCTCTTCTTGATGAAGCGGAGTGAAGCAAAAAGCCCGGGGGCTAGTTTCTTGGTTGATGAAGGAGTGGTCTGTCAAGTGTAGCCGGGAGCTCCCAGAATATAGCCGTTGGAAATATAACCTGTAACACCCCGGGGCCCCACACGGACCCGAGGTAGTTACTCTAGACCTCTAGTACTGTCCCCACAAACCACCACGAGCCTTTACCGCGCACTTTGTCCTCACTCATGCGCGCCCTGAGAAACTTCCCAGGGGGTCACCCATCCCAAGACTACTCCCGTGCAAGCACGCTTAACTTTGGAGTTCTTGGGTGATGAGCTCCCTTAAAAGGAGATGCACCTCTGTTGGTATGAGTAGTACTATTAATCCTCTTAAATTAATCTCAGGTATTACATAACCGTTGGAATATCTAAAGTCAGAATATAGCCGTTGGGGGGGGGGGGGGGGGCTGCCACGTGGTGTGTGCTCGTTGGCTGCCCGTGGGCGGGTGTCACCGATTGGGCGAAACCACGGTTTGTAATGATGGCAGTTCAGCCGGAGGCCCGGTTTCCAGGCCCAAGCCCGGATCCAGGCGCCTATAAATACCCCATGGCCGGGCACCACTTCTCTTGTGCGATCATTTGCTAGCGAAGCTCTGCCGGATTTTTTCTAGAGAGAGAAACACTGCCCTCGATCTAACTCCTGTTTTAAGGTCAGTTCCCCAAATTTCCTTCTCCCTCCTTAGCTAGCTGTATCGGCCTCAGATCTAGGAGTTGTAACTTAGAACACTTAGTGTTTCTGAGCCCTCGACCCAGTGGAAAGATGTCTTCCCAAAGTGACTCTCAAGACATATCGAGGGATCTCTCGGTGGAGGAGGAGAGCTTCTCGGATGCGGGGTCCTCGAGCGAGCAACCCTCGGCCCAGGAGGATGTCGCGATGGCGATGGAGGTGCAGAAGGAGTTGGTGGTCGAAGTTGAAGCCGAGGGCTTCGAGCAAGAGGCGGAGGATGAAGAGCTTGCCCTCGCCGTACAAGTCGCAGAGGAGGAGGAAGAGAGGGAGAGGATGAGGGTGACAGTGGTTGTCCTTCCCCCTCGGGGTGCTGGTGAGGCAGGGAGCTCTCGGCCCCTCAACCCGACGCCGATAAGAGTGGCCCCCGGGAAAAAACAGGAGAAGAAGAAAACTGCTCCCAAGAAGAAGTGCGTTGTTGCTGATCAAGGGAAGCCCATAGATGTGCCCGAGGGGTACTCCTGGCTGAATACTGCTGCCCTCGAGATAGGGTCGAAGGCTGACAGGGAAGATATGTACGTGACTCAGCTGCACGTGGGGCCTTCGGCTGTGGTGGTGGCGCCAGGCCCTGATGATGTGCTTTCCCGGGCTCCCGAGGGTTGCATCGCCGTGCACATCCTGTCGGTATCAATGGGGCTCCGGTTCCCCCTGCACCCATTCCTTCGGGAATACCTTCGGTATGTGGGTTTGGTCCCCTGCCAGTTGACGCCTAACAACCACTCCTACGTGGCGGGCTTCCTGAATCTTTGCCGGGCCCGAGGGGTGACCCCTAGCCTGGACTTGTTTTTTCAGAGCTTCAACCTCTACCGAGGGGGTCATGCGAACGCCGAGGGCTTCGCCAATCTGCAACAGGTAGCCCGGTGGAAATTATTCACAGAAGCGCCCTCGTCCAACAAAGGCTGGAAGGAGCGGTGGTGCTACGTCAGAATTGCCGAGAGCCCCTTTCCGAGGGAACTCCGGGATCGCTTCCGTCGGCATCCGAAGGTTGAAAGTGCTGCTCTGGAGAAGGATGACTTGATAATAACCAAGATCCCGGAGGGTCGTACGAAGCAAGTGTCCATTAAGGACTTCACTGTTGACAAGGAGCTTTTCGCCCTCGACTTCCGCAGATATCGCTTCCTCGGCGAGACAGAAGAGAAATATCTTGTGCTGGCAGGAGGTAGTATCCGAGGGCTTCCTGTTTTGTACTTAGGATATTTTATTTTCTCTCTTTTTTTTCTTCTTTTTTTTCTTTCGGTCTAACCCCTCTTTTTTTTGTTGGCAGGTGTGAATATGGACGCTGGTAAGCTCTTCGCTCTGAAGAAAAAGAAGGGCAAGGTCCAAGCCCAGAAGAAGGATCCCTCGGTCCAACCACCTGTGAAAGCCTTCTTTCAAAAGGAGACTCCGGAGCCCTCTGCTGCGGAGGGAGTTGCCGGGGTGGCCGAGGGGGCCACCAAAAAAGAAAAAGGGGAGCAAGGCGGTGGAGCCCCCGGCTAAGAAGCAGAGGGGTACAGGGGGCACTGTCGGCCAGGATGCCCCCTTGGTGATCATTGAGGATCGCCCTTCTCCGGACCCCCAGTTGGTGCTGCGGCGACAGCCCAAGCCGATCTCCCCTTGCGAAGCCCCCCCGGGAGATCCTGCAGCTTTCCTTGGCCCCGGGGGCTTCTGTCCTACATGGCTCAGCGGAGCCGAAGGCTTTCTTGAGGGGGATGACCTCGGCAATGGACAAGGCTGCCCTCTCAACCTATGATGATGAGGCCCTCGAGAACAGGATCCTTCGATCTTCGTTAACTGTAAGTTTCTTCCTTAGGTCTTGTGTTTAACCTTTAATGCTCTTTCCATATTAATTTGACCCCTCCTCCTGTTGTTTATCAGGCTTGTGTAGCCCTCGGGGAGCACGCACAGAGGCTCGAGCAATGGCGCCTCCAGAAAGCGGAGCAGGATCGGGAGATGAAGGAGCTCATCCTGAAGAACTCTGATGCTGTAAAGCAGATGGCCTTGCTGGAGGAAGATCTCCGGAAAGCTGCCGAGGGCGCTCAGCTGAAGGCCAAAGCTGCAGTGGAGGAGGCCAGGCTTGAGGCCGAGAGGGCTGCTAAGAAAGCCGTTGTAACACCCCCATTTTCCCCAACCAAAAATACATTTAAATAATGATTTATTCAAAGGAATTATCAACTTTATTTGAAAACATCAGAGATACAGCGGAAGTCTTAATAGGGAAATGGGTGTTACCGCCACACTCGATTCTCACATAACCGAATGCACAGGCTAAACCACCATCCAAAAATAATCCAAGTATTTAAGTACTGAAAATTTCAAAAATAATTTAAATGTCTACATGTTCTCAAACTGAAATAAACAATAACTAGGTGATTATAAATACTAAACTACGTGATCTAACGCAGCTCTCATCATCATGCATAACCTTCATCACCTGCACAATTAAAGTGCATAAAACAAAGAAAAGGAAACAAAAATTAGCTTTTTAGCTAAGTAAGGCCTACCCAACCCCGTAAAATAATCAGGTTTGGAGAAAATAGTTTTTCATATAATATTATATAAAAATGACGCACTCCACCAAAATACTTTTCTCTTTGATTTTTCTTAAAATCACTTCTTTGCTAAAATCCTCAACTTCTCTTGGAAAATATCATAGTAATTCTTCTCTTTAAATTTCTTAAGAAAATCACTTCTTCTCTATCTTCCTAATAATTTAGAAGGGCGGTGCTCAACCTTTCGACTGAGCCCGGTGGACCGTGGTTACGGACGGCCACCCCGAACAGATGCCGGTACCACAACTGCTCTTGCGGAAACGAAACGACTACCTTAAGTGTGCACACCCCCTAAAAGGGATTCCAAGCCCTCCGAGTAGTAAGTCATCCCGAGTGGTCGGAACCCAACCACCCCACCTCTAAAATTCTTGAATGATTAGGGACTACTACTATAACTTCTTCTTAAAAGGGATCATAGATCCAAATGTCACTTGAAACTTAAATTGTACTTCTTAGTAGTAGTAGCTCTAATCACCCTCCACATTTATCCGGATGTGGAAAACCGACACCTCGGATTACTCCCGAGATGCTCACTTTTTATGAAAATGTAAATTTTATCTTCGCTTAAACAATACTTCGAAAATACTTCTTAATTTCTCTACAAAGTCTCGAAGGTATCTAAAAATATTTAATACCCCAAAAGTACTTGATTTATATTTCTTAACTATCATATATATAATGTCTCCTCAAAATCACATACACAAAATTCACAATTCACACTTAATCACATAATGCATAATAAGCATATAATACGAGGAAACAATTTTGGATTGCCAGAGAAACTTACAATTTAGGGTTTATCCAAAACTAGTTCCAAAATAGTATTTAATACCATATTCAAAATAATCCAATAAGGATATTTATAACTCCAGAATGTATATGTAAATTTTCATACCAAATTATACATTTAAAAATATATAATTTATCCCAAAAGATTTGATCTCACAACACTTTTCAAAAAGAGGGTTTAACCCAAACAACCACTTCCCAAAAGTAGCATTTACTACTACCACCAAAATAATCAAATTGGAGTATTCTGAACCCATAATATATTTTCAATATAACCAGTTATAATAGTCTCAAATCATTCTTCAACTCATACCAAAACAATCACCAAAATTTTCCAATCCCAAAAGAACAATCATCAAAAATCACAATTTTAGCCATGATAAACTGATTTGATAAATTCACCAAAAATCACACGTTCATAAATTCCCAGAAAAGCATACATCATCATACTCATACTATTATAGCCGAATTATCCATAAAATTTCAGAAAGAAACTCAAATCATAGCACAAATCCTAGTTTATACAATATAGGGGCAAAATAGTAATTTTGGTTGCAATAGTCCTTACCTCGAGGCTAGCAACAAATCCTAAACGTTAACCCTAGTTTGATGGATCATTCGCACGTACCTAGGAAGTGATAGGTTCGAAGGATCTCAATTTAGGAGAAAGAAATTTAGGAAACGGATGAACGACGCGAATTAGGCAACAAACGCACTTACCGGAATATTGGATTGTTTGATCTCATCATTGGCATAAAATTTCGTGCTGGATACGTTAATATTGAAGAGCTGGAAGGGATAGAGCTTGAAGAGGCGCTCCTAGGGTTTTTGGAATGAGGAAAATCGGATTAGGGATGTATTTATAGTGAATTTCCGAAGTTTGAGTTGCATTAGGATACAACAGGAACGCACGCGTGCGTACCTTCCACGCACGCCGTGCGTGACCCCCAGACGCCCCAAACCTTAGTTTTTGCCCCGTTTCTTCCCCATTTGGACCTCCCCTTTGTCCCAAACACTAAACCAAACATAATAAACGACCTAAAGACCGTGTAAACAATATGAAACACAATTTTAATTATTTCCCAAATTCTCTCAAATTTTCGGGGTATTACAGCCGCCGAGGAGGCAGACCTTGCCAAGGCCGAGGCCGTCGCCAAAGCCCGAGAGGAAGCCGTCGCCGCATTCATGGCCGAGGGCTGGAAAGCCGAAGATAGGCAGCAGTGGGTGGCTCGGTCGTGGAGGCATCAGTAGATGACTGGGTGAAGGGCCCCGGGGGAGACTGGATGGCGGAGAGGGGAGACAGTTATTACCAAGGGGGTGAATTCTTCACCCAGCATCTAGTGTACCGGAGGCTTGCCAGGCACTTCCAAGTCTCCCTCGAGGAATTTGACCCTCGGCGTATGGCCTTCCTCCTTTGCAGCCAGATGTGAGAAATCCCCTCCCCCCGGGCGAAGAGAGACCTGTGATCCATGAATCCATGATGATGGGGGGATCTGGTGACGGTGATGCCGAGGCTGCCGTCGGGGAGGAGGTCACCTCGAAGCCTGCCGAGGAGGCGAAAGATGAAGGAAATACTTGTACTTAGTAGCTTTCTGAACACCTTTTTTTGTTTGTAATGAATATTTGTATACTCTCGGCCTCGGCCCATTTCTAACATACATTTGAATTTCCCTTCCTTGGATGAATGAATGCTTGCCTTCGGGCTTTTTGTATACAATTCGTTTCCTTTGACTGTTGTTCTTTGAATGTATGCCCTCGCCCTTTCTGAATGTATGCCTTCCTTTTTCTGAATGTATGTTTAGGACTTAGAATATATTCTTCCAAGTATAGTAGCTCTCGTAGCCCTCGGCTACTAGGCCTATCTAGTTAATGGCACCTTTGGTCGAGGGCCCAACGTTTAGGACTTAGAGATATTTTTAAGTGTTTGTATATTGTGTAGCCTTCGGTACGTGGGTACCCTTCGCTGATTGGATGTATGACCGATGGCCCGGAAATCGTTAGGACTTAGAAAATTTTTCTAGGTATAGCTTCACCGAGCCTTCAACCGTATGGCCCCTCGGGCAGCATGGAGATTTGACCGAGGGTCAAAATATGTAGGACTTAGAAATTTTTTCTAAGTGTAACTTCACCAAGCCTTCAACCGTATGGCCCCTCGGGCAGCATGTAGATTTGACCGAGGGTCAAAATATGTAGGACTTAGAAATTTTTTCTAAGTGTAGCTTGTATGAAGGAGGAGCCTTCGGGTGAATGTGGGGACCTTGTCTCAGATGTGCCCTCGGCTGGCTGGTGGCCCCACAAGGGGCAAAGTATTTAGGACTTAGATTATTTTCTCTAAGTATTTCCTGCTGCTGGCCTTTGGGAGGGGACCCTTCGGCTGTACACGTTGTAGGGTTAGGATAGTTTCCTTTGCCTTGTAATGTTGGCTTGTGGCAACAAAAAGCCTTCGGTTGTTTGTTATGTCCCCCCAATGTTCGTATAGGAGAGTTTGTAATCCAAGTCTAGCATGAAAAGGCAGATTCCCTCGGGAACTGTCTGGATGTATCCCCTCAGCATGTAGTGAGGTGCCGAAGGTGATTCTTGATTTGGTTTGGCCACCATCTGATAATTTTGTTATGTAGTAGCCTTCGGGGACGTTTTGTTGGCTGAGCCCGCCATGTTTTGTAGTATTTGAACCTTCGGTTTTAGGTATAGCCGAAGGCAATTATTGAGTGGACTCGGTCACTTGTTGATGATGTCTGTTGTGAATGGTATTCTTTGTACTTGTGAGCTTCCAGGTACCGAAGGTGTTCCCGTGGGGAGCCCTCGGTATGTTTCTGTGAATTGTTGGAGTGATGTACTCATTGATTTCTCGCCGAGTATACTCCCCTTCACCACCCTATCTTTTTTTTTGTTTTTTTTTGTGTAGTGAAGGGAAGGCTTCAAGAAACTTGGTTTCTTGGTAAGGCTTGGCCTATCAGGAGGTAACAGAATACACCATTAGCTCCCCACTCGGGTTAACCTTCCGAGTTCCGAGGGGATCGAGGGTCGTTTCCTGGGTACAAGATATGGTGGTCCGTAGCCTGCCTCCCCTTGGGGGATGGCGCGGAAAGCGCCTCAGTTTTGAAAGTCGTCCCCTCGGCGCTAGACATAGTCCGTGGCCTGCCACACCCTTGGGGTGGTGGCGCGGGGAGCGTTTCGGTTTGGAAGTCGAATCCTGGGCATTTTTCGTGCCTGTCATACCCTTGGGGTGATGACGCGGAAAGCGTTCCGTTTTTGAAAGTCGAATCCTAGGCATTTCTCGTGCCTGTCATACCCTTGGGGTGATGACGCGGAAAGCGTTTCAGGGAAGGGTTTTCATTTGCACACTGGTTGCAAATGGCCAGGGGCACTACGTGCTGCCGGCACCGAGAGGTGGCGCCTTCGGTATAGGCGTCCTCGAGGGGTACGGCTTAGAAACAACACTTGGTGTTTGTTCCGATTTACGGCCCCCGGTACTTGGTACCGAGGGGTCTTCTGTGAAAACACTTGGTGTTTTTCCTTCATTTGTCGCAGGTGATTGTGTTGTCTACCCTCGGTACTTGGTACTGAGGGGTCTTCTGTGGGAACACTTGGTGTTCCTTCCCATTTGTGGAACGCTGTTAGTGGTGTGTCCCCCCGGCACCATGTGGTGAGGGGTCTTCATTTGAGGACAGTGGGTTTTCCTTGCTGTTGTAGGTGACATTATCGTCTACCCTCGGCACTTGGTGCCGAGGGTTCTTCCTTGGGGTAAGGCCTTGGGCCAGTGGGTGATATGA